TGAATTACGTGGCCTATATAATTGGACTAACCTTTATTATTTTCGGTAGGACCTACTCTCAATACATCACGGCATTGAAAGTTGAAAATCCCAAAATTGTAGAGATTTTTCTGATGGAAAAACAATTCTGAGGATTAAATCTTGAATGGAAGTAATTTTAACTATTCATTGTATCTATTGTTCATTGTATGCTTTAATTTCGGTTTAAAGCGTTTTCATGAGGAGATTGTTTATTGGATTTATTATACTAATAAAACCGTTTTTTTTATTTCATTATCTACTCCTAAATGTTGTCAAATTTTAAAAAAGTCAAGGCATCCTACAGAATGGGAGTAAACATTTAAACTCTATCGGCCCTGTTCTAGTTTTCACTTCCGAAAGTTTCACACGGATTCGAATTTCCCAGACCTGTTCCAAGACTCACTTCCGAAAGAACTGCACGGAATCGAATTTCCCTCTGTTGTTACTCTGTTAACTTCCGAAAAATTCACACGGAAACTTTCCGCCAAGCATATGACAGGCGGATTTAAATTCGGCAGTATAAAAATGAATTCTTTAAATATACTTCGCGATAGCTTTATAAGTCAATAATATTTTTATGCTATCGGAATAGAAATTATTTGCATATATGACTTATTAATAATTATTTTGTGGTTGCACCTTAAAACCCGGTAAATTCTAGCTATGACAATTAATGCAAATCCGCCGCCCTTGTTCTAAATTCCGCTCGGATTTGGTAAAAATGGCTTAGAGTTGTCACGGTATGGATATAAGTTAGAATTTCCTTGGGACTTATTCTAAACTTATCCGATAAGGTTAATGGTTCTTTTATAAGAAAGATAATTTTTCCTAATTAACGAAATAAGTGTTTTGGCTCGGAATACCACATTTTTTCATGTGAAATTTGAACGGGGACATTTGATAGGGACTTTGTTTTTCGACTTTGGCATCTCTGTATGCTCTTGCAGTTTGCAATACTATGATTCCCACACTGATTTTTAATACTATTCTGTCGGGAGCCTTTCAAAACTGCGCAGGGACCAATGGGAAATTTTATAAAATGTCCCTAGCAAGAAAGGGAAATTTAGTTCTGTTAAAGGGAAATCCGATAATGTTAACAAATTCACTTCCGAGTGAAAACTGGAACAGGCCTGTATGTATGTTCAGTGAACGTATTTTAGTTGGCAGTCGGGTCAGAAATTTAACATTTCAAACTTAAAAAAATCTTTAAAAAAAAGTGTGTCATCGAAAACAAAATTAGTGCTGTTTTCGTGATCTAGGGGTCCAAAACTAACAGAATTTGCCATCAATTGCTGGGGAGCATTTCGGCTGTAAACTAGTGTTATCTTAATTAGACAATTCCCAACTCAGCAAGGCAAAAATTTGCAATATTGCGTATGCGCATTTCCTAGATAATGTGTTAAGTCCTTAAAAATAAATAAACGACTTCTGGGTATATACCATTTTTTAAACCGTCTAGAGAAATGCAAAAAATGGTTGGAGAAAAGAGGGCAGCTAGCGAACGAAGTGGTTGCCGAGCGGGATGCCTTGGTCATGTAATGCCTGCCAATTGGTACAAAGAACTATATATAGGATATATAAAACCTCCTCCAGAAACTGTTCTCCCCGAGCAGCTGCAGCAGGAGCAGCCAGAAACAGCTTCGTGCTGCAGCAACAAACTCATAAAAAGGCGCAGAAAAACGAGCAAGAAACTTTGCTAACGACTTAAACGCTGCCAAAGGAGCAGGGGAAACGAGGACCTCGTGGAGGACTCGGGGCCGTAGAGTTCGGAGATTGCCGAGTGGAAGGTTAGCTGCAGTTTGGACAGTAATAAAAGTAATAACAACACCAGTACTAGTACCAGTACCAGTGCAGCCTGCACATACAGCTCTCCCATGTACAAGGGGTATATATACCTCATGGAGCTTGGATTTGTGTACCCACTTCTCCTTCCACATGGCCCTGCGCAGAGTCGCTTTATGCGCGTTAATGGCATCGTTTACTGGCTAACTGTACATGCATATAGACGTGCATCTAGCAGATCTACATATACACATATATATATATATATATATATATGGTAGTACATATTCCTGCAGGGGAGTGGCGGTGCAACAGCGACAGCTGCAGCATTTCGTGCGGGGAGAATTTTCGTGCCAAGTGGGCGTTACCAACGCTTCCCGAACGTTTTATATAAACATTGTGTAATGTGTGTATTATTTTGGTTTGCGCTTAAAGTGACTAAAATGTTCGGTGATTAAATAAATGTAGGATTCAATTTGACATGCATGTTCAGGCTAGAATTTTGTAGTAGTCGGATTCACAGACGAAGAACTTCAGGTCTCGATTTAATAAAATAATTTATTTAATTTTTTTAAAAGTTTTAGTATGATCTCTATTAATTATAAATATATATATTTAAATGCTAAAAAGTAATTGTTATAAACAAGTTAATTAAAAAGATTTTTATTTTTTACTATTTCATTAAAATATAAATCTATTCCATTAATATTGTTAGTTTCACTTAATAATAATATGTTTCGAAAAACCTACTTTTTAATATTTTTACGTTTCTCTTATAAATCCAAAAGGATATATTGACATTTTTCGGTCAGAAAGAAGATAAATAATATACCCGCAGGTTTGACGCTAAAACACATTTCCTATTTTATTGTTATCTATTTGGTCGACTTTTCTAAAAAACCCTACACTTCCCTAAACTGTTTATTTTGCCTAATTGTAAGTACCATTGTTTTTTTTTTAATTTTTTTCGTTTTGCGAAAAAAAGTTTTTTTATTGATAAGTTCCTAAGGTAATAAGCAAATGACATATCTCGAATTTTCTGGAATTTTCATCCATGACGTAAATATGTTATTTTTTGAGAACGCTTTCTCGTATAAAGCGGACAATTTTTAAAGCGTACTTTAAATTTAACATGCTGAAGAGTATACGGCCCTTTAAGTTGTAGATCGCAACAGATCACATAAAATTAAAAATTTGTGTATGACTTTTTGCGGCTTCACATTGTGGATTTCAAAATCAAATTAGAGTTAGATTATTCTAACCTTGTTTGCCATTTAACTGCTTGCTGTTAAAATATTCTTGTCCAATCGCAGCAACATCAGCAAATGGCGCTTGCAAATAAATATGCAGACCAAATAGGGCCATTAAAATTGTTTGGGTATTATAGCCATAGTCATGCTGCGGTTGCGGCAGCAATAAATCAATTTATTAGATTTATTTGCGTCCAATAAAATAATTTGCAAGCATAAAATGCTAACAAAACAGCGCCCAAACAATGGTCAACCCACTAATGGCTTAATTACTAAATTAAAAAGGCGCAGACAGTGCGGCAAATGTTCGTGCAACGCGACCAGGTGAATGAGCATGTGGGCAACGTTCAGGTAAAAGTTACACGAAAAACCAACCAAAACAACAGCGGCAACAACAGGAAGTAGAGCTGTTCCGAAAACGAGTTTCAAGTCAAGTTCGCACACGCAAAGTGAGTGCGCCAATGCAAATCCTGCACCACAAACTCCCTGCAACAGCACTTGTGTTGCATGCAACAGCACAAGCAACAGCAACATCACCGGCAGCAGCAACATCAGCCCCAACAGCAACACTTGCACGCCAGCGACAGCAACACCAACGGCCGCATTAAAGGAGCTGCGAGCAGAGAGCCATAATAAAACGGGCCAATGGATATGAAGCTCCGCCTACAACCAAACTACCGACAACGATGACGACGACGGGCCAATGTTGCTGTTGCTGTTGCTGCCGTGTTGTTTTTGTTGCTCTTGTGTCGTGTTGTTGCTGCCGTGCGATTGCTGTTGGTGTGTAGGTAAAAACAAGAAAAAACGAAAAAATGGCTGGCGATACGAAGAGCATAATGGCATAAGCTCACCGAGTAGAAGAGAAAAGTCCCAAAGAACACCAGCGGGCAACATGTGAATTTGTTAATACGATAAACAAAATGTAGTCAAGAAGTTTTCTTTTGAACTAATCAGAGAAAATGAAATAAGAAATATTATTATAAAATTTGTATATATTTGGTATGCAAACTTATCACACAGAGCCTGTTAAGAATCAAGCTATTATTATTTTAATAGAAATAGATAAGTTGGCTTAGCAAATATATTTTTTTAAAAAAAGGTTCCATTTTTTTTTGATGCATCACTAAAATCAATTTATTTATATTATTTTATAAAGCCAATCTTTGTAACAAAATATATTTTCGTAACATAATTAAATAATTTTACAGCTATTTTATGATAACAAGCATTTCCTTGATACCATATTAAAACTTTATCTTTTAAATGTGGTTCTTAACCGTTTTGTTCTATTTCGTCAGATGTATCTATAGGAATTTAAGATTGATGTTACTTATTTACAAAAATAACAGCTTTATAATTAAGAACTACACAGAGAAAATTTTTCAAGAAGACTGACGTTCTCAAATTAAGTATGAGTACTTGGTTATATTTTCAGTAAAAAATTATCAATGGAGTACAGCGTTCATGAAAAATGTTCTTTGTGTATACATTTAAATATTAAAAAGGGATATGTAACTGTAATGGAAGTTAAATACATTGTATATTAAAATTGGTTTTTGGGAGTGCTTAATAAGCTAGGACAATTTGCTTAATTCCGCTTAGTTAATAATTATGCTTATGCTACTGGTTTTGAGATTCTTAATTTTGTATATTCTTCTTCGATATCAATATGGGTTCCCCATATTGAGTTGCAATTTGTGCCGACGTTTTTGCCGCCATGTTTACGTTGCACATCGCTGTCTGCCAGTTTTTGCACGAAGCACTTATGCAGACTGGCGAAATTCTAGATAAGTGGCTCCACTCATGTCCAATTGTTTGTTTATGTGGGGGAGATTTGTTAATGAAGCTGATTGCGAAATTAGTGGCGGGATCGATTGCAGATCATTGATCTTTGAGAAGCTTGGGAATGAGAAACTTACGAATTGTACATCTTTTCTCGTTTTTCAGGCCAAGACGTTTTCCTAGACTATTGCCAAAAGCTATTAGAGAAATTCCGCTATCCCTGGGAGCTGATGCCGCTCATGTATGTGATATTGAAGGATGCAGACGCCAATATTGAAGAGGCTTCCCGGCGAATCGAAGAGGGTAAGTTAACTGACCACTAAACAGCACCCCACCATATACCCCCGAAATAGCGGTGAAGTATAATTGTATAATCAATTCCGAATGTCTTTCGATCTGATCTAACCAGGCCAATATGTTGTGAATGAGTACTCCCGTCAGCATAATTTAAATATCTATGACGGGGGTGAGCTACGCAACACAACGCGGCAATGTGGATGATAATTTTTCATTAACTAGAGTAACGAATATTACTTTGCCCTGATATTTATTGTTCAGCATCACATATTAGCTTAATGCTTCGGTGAAATCGCGCGAATTTAACTTTCGTAACTTAAAGTTGAGTAACTTAGCGCTTTAAGGAGCGAAACCTCTGTACATATATCGAATTTATCGGTAAGCTAAAGCGCAACTTGGATTATCTTCAATCAACATGCCAAATATGTCGATGTGTGACCGCCGGTCCCCGCGCTACTTTTCTTCAATCAACATTACCCCATGCTGAGATGTCTGAGATGGCCGCCAATCAACAATCAACATTCTCTTCTCTTCAATCAACAATCCCCCAATGGATCTAATCAACTTGCAACAAAACCCTTGCCGCCAACGAATAAAAATAATCAATGCACAAAATTTATTAAACGTTCTCAAAACATTTTCGAAAAAAAACCAAATGCCAAATCAACGATCAACATTTCAACACGTTCGCATCACAAATCTGCACATCGGTTGTATAGCTTTAGTTTAACCCTACTTAAGTCTTGCTTTACACAGTTAATTAGGCTAATTTTTGGGTTCGGGTGTGATTTTTCGGTTAAACGAAATGCGCAGTCTAATTAACGCCATTAACATCGCCTCACATCAGTCATTCATTTTATTTTTCATTTACTTAAGTACTTAACTGAATCTAAGTACAAAGTGATTTTTTTAATCAGCTGCACTCGATTGAGCAACAATGGGGATCGAGGAGGCAACTAAGTTATAGACTCATTCAAATAGGCTGACAAGCTAATCTCAAATTTCTTCTCTACATGTGAATTTGTATCTTTAAAAGGTACTTAAATAATAACCCCTGAAATTATGTATGCCTACATATTTCTTGGGGGCCTCGGTATCAAAACTGTTGTGAGATGGTGCACAAATTATAAATATGTTTAAGTTAACTTTATCGATGTCTTGCGAAACTCTAATTGTAATATTTAATGACAACATTAATTCTCATTAACATTGTAAAATATTGTTACAAACTTAAGTAAGATTTAGCCCAACGGAAAATTATAAAAAGGATAAACCTGAAATGTCAAAAATAAACTATTTTCCTTAAACAAAACCATGATCGGTGAGATGAGATGAGCTCAACGTCGAATATTCAAGTGGAAACCGAAAATCCTCGAGAACCTTGGAATTGCCTTACTAAAGTGGGAGTATCAGCTGTTGTTTGTTTCGTTAATGACATTTAAAATTGTAACGATTGCTTTTCAAGTTGTTGCCATTTCACGAATCCATTGCCAATGCGCGTCCCAGCATCATCAGATGAAGCTTCCTAGTGGCAGGAATCTGAGACTCGGAGTTGGGAGCTGGGAGTTTCTTGTGTCGCCACTGCTGCTGGGATCGTAAATGCGTCATTAAACCGAAAAATGCATGCGAAAAATTTACGACATTGCCAACACCATTGCCCAAAGGCCTGCACTTAGAAAAACGTTTTCAGTAAATTTACATTTCATTAAAATCCAAAATTCCTATTCCTTTAAATTCAATGTTTTTTTTTAATTGCAGGATTTCCAACCAAATGTTCATTTTATCTTTTAAGTTTTATCTTAACCCTTTTTTTTTGTTAAGTATAAACTACTCCGAGGAGGTTGCCCCTAGGAATTTTTCAGAGTGTGTAACTGAGAATCCCAGCTACGGGTTTAGTTTTTCCAGCTGGGGATAAACGGCTCAAGTCCGCCACCAGGTAGCTGCAATGCTCCGGCCGTAACAGCTCAGCATCGCTTCTCGGCACTAAACGAGTCACGATGAAATTTCAGAAATGGCAGACTGGGAGGGAGAATCTCTGGGATACTGTGGGTAGGCAATAGCGACGTGTAAATGTGAGGACCATAAAGCTTAAAAGTGTTTATGGTTGAATTGTGCAAGGAGTAAACGAAGAATTCGCCCAACATGTGAGACGATTTGATGCCAACGAATTGAGAGTTTTATTGTAATATTCAAGGTCTTTTTTGGTTGTATTCAATCTTTCCTGAATATCAACACAATTGAAACATTTTTTCTACTATTCCGATGTACCAGAAAAAAAAAAATTGGAAACATTTTTTAAAGTTGATACGGAAAGTTAATACTTAAAAAATGTTAAATATCAACATTATTTGATATCTTAAATCTTTACATTTTTTTTTTACTATAGGTATTTCTCTTTATTTTGACAGGACTTTTTCATAAGTGATGACCAAACTATCTTATGACTCAGTGCGAATAGAAAGTTCATAAGGAATCTAACCCAACCTATCGACCCCATTTTACGACGCGTTTCCATATCCTTGCATTCTGTCATATTTTTAGCGCCGCCTTTCTTTGTTTTCCCATAAAAAATAGACTCGCTAGTTTGCCATTTTGCGCTGAGCGCCATTACGAGCTGCGAGCCGTATCATCATCATCATCGTAGTCGTATGGACAGCCGCCCAGCCCAGTCTAGTACAAATTCCTTGCCACTTTCATCCCAAGCATTTACCAATGCTTATTAAAAACTATAGGAAAGCTCAGACGCAGCGGCAGCAGGAAGCAAAAATTTCCAACTTTACGACTTCATATTGTGGGTGGATCGTAAAATATTTGTGCAGCGTCAACTTCAACTCCACTCCCAAGCAGCTCCTCATTTCCCATCCAGTTTCGCTACTGTCATTTTTACTGCCCGACGACTTACAAGCTGGCACTTGTGCCAGACATCTGATCCACATGCATAGCCATAGCTTCCTATAGACAATCATGATTTATCATGGCCACCGTCCTTGCCCGCTAAATAATAAGCAACCAGTTTGTCATAAAGGCTTCCAGCGTAATCGGGCTGGACATAGTTACCCCTGAAATTGGCCAAGCTTGGGCTACTTTTATTCCTCCGTCGAAGAGTGAATTCAAGCGTTAACTTATTGTCGGGGCTTTGTGGCCTGCAAAAGCATTGATTATATACCTCTGGATGGAGAAAGGGCAACTAATCTTTTAGACAGAGATTGGGAAATGGTTTGCTATGAAAGTAGGTCAGAAAATTGTATCTCATCCTAGATTTCCTCTGTTTTAATTAATTAAATATTACATTACATATTACGAGTTTATGATGCACTTAAACTTTAATGTAAGATAAATCTTTATTTAAATTTCTTACTTAATGATTAATAATTTTTTAATCGTTAATTTTTTAAAAATAAGTTAAATATATAAACTTTTCAAAAAGAATTTAGACTTGAATGAGAAGAGAATTAGTCCAGCTTCGAAGTTCTTATGGTTTATGAAAAAACGTGATCTAGGGAAATATAGTAAAAAAATTAACCACTAATTGAAAAAATATAAAGGTCACCAAGAATAAAATGATGTACTTTTCCCGGAAAAATTCTCTCCTTCTTAAACGCTCATTGTTCGAAAATAGACTTTTTTGCTAAAGATTTTATATTGTGGTTTTATTAACCTGTTTTCGAAAACTAAAATACGTTATTGCCGTCAGCAAAATGTTAAAAGGTCAGACCCACAGTTTGGAGCTTAATTAATATTTATTTGAATATTCAAAAAGACGTAAAGTAGTTAAAAAAGGTATAAATATTCCGGTTTCGTTTCGGGCTTGTCATGAGCGGGGAATCCTTTTTTGTTTGAAGCATTGACTATAAAAAGGTTATTATAATAATTCCGACTAAAAAAGGAAATACACTTGAATTAGATATTTAATGATTTAAAATGAATTATTAAAAATAAAACTTTAGCTTTGATTTACAAAAGTGACTTATAAGCCATAAATGTCTTTTTTAATATTTAGCTATCATCCTTTTAGTTTTTTTTTTGCTGGTATGCTTTTGATATCACAAGTTCAAATTGTCGGTCTTAAAAGAGAAATATGTACACTAAAAGTTTTTTTTATAAATTAAGTTTCACACTAGGTTTACTATTTATAAGTTATCAAGCTAATAGGATCAATTTATTTCAATAGAGTGTAAGTACTTCTCCTACTGTTCTTTCGACCGGCTTTACAACAGCTGTTTTAAGTATGATTTCCTTGTCCTTCAATCAGTTGGTGAAATAATTGTTAAAATCTTTATGTCTATTTTCACTTGGCTTATTTCATTACACCTCGTGTTGTACGAAAATTTCAAAGCAGAGGGGTTAACAGAAGTATCGGAATGGGCGGTGGTTCCTTCCCTCCATGGGTGAACCTGCTCGAAAATGCATTCCTCTAATTAACCCAACACCAAAACTCAGTTTATGGACTAGCCCGATGAGAGTTAGCTATATATTAACAAGTACTAGAATGGCCGGAGACGAGGGGAGCTCGACTGGTTACCCTCTGTCCCTTCCCAACCTTGGGTCACAACTTTTTTACGACTTTTTATTATTTCGTCAAATCGCACAATGGGCGGGCGGCATTAGTTGCGACTAGGTTTGGTCTGGCATTGACTGTACCTTCGACTCGAATTCCTCCCGATTCCACTCCCATCCGTACCCCCTGACCATCCGATATTTGTGTGTCTCCCAAAGAGGAGGCGAACTCCCCAAGAAAGGGGAGGAAGACCCGGGGAGGCACGCTCATGCGTAATTCTCTCTCGTATGCTCTGGCCCTGTTTAATGCATTCTGCAGTTGGCGGAAGAAAAAATCCCATTAAAATTAAGTAAAATTGCAGCAGCAGCAGCAGCAGCGTAATCGTAAAAACTTGGCATTTTGATGTTGCAGCAAGCAGTAAAATTTTGAAAAGTTTTTGCCACGCAGATAAGGCGGGGAGTCAGCGGAAGACAAAGGCTCTATCCAGCCGAAGCTCCAACTGGGACTGGAATCGGGATGTGGACGAGTTCGTGGATGTGGATATGGCAGTGGATGTGGATCTGGGGGCGTGGCATCTTGGTGGGACGGGGCAGCAGGGAGGGTTTATTATGTGAGCACCGTGCGAAGGTTGCACATAAAGTGCATGCCGGGGCCATAGGTGGGCCAGTGCTCAGAGTCCAGGGCACCGCTTCCTCATGTGCCTTCCAAAATGGCGCACATCTTGGCCGGGTGGCATAGACATTAAGTGCGGCCGTAGTTAATGTTATGGCCGCCAGCCATAGCTTTAAACTGTTCTACTCTATTTTCCATATAAAGTGTGTAAAAGAAACGATGTGGTATGCCGTCCAATACTCACTCGTATACTCTTTAACTATTAAGGTGCTTTCCGAACTTTTACAATTGATTGAAAACATTCTTTTAGTCGATAGTTCCCTTATGAAAAATAAAAAAATGTATTATAGTTCAAAATATAAAACCCCAATAGGAATTCTCGCACATAATATTATAATATTTACTTAAATAAAGAAGGCATCATCTTTGTTATCATAAAATAATAATGTCATTTAAACCTGCTACATGTCTAAGCAGGTGATATAAGGCAGAGTTATACCTTATATTCAAAAATTAAATTGTTATCGATTTCATTTATAAACGTATTTTTTGAGTATTTTTCACGGGACGCGTAGGTTCTTTTTAAAATATTTATAATACCGAATTTATATTTAGTACAAAAGTTATAGTAAAAATATGTAATGTAATCGCGGAATGGTTTTTTAAATGTGAATTTTGCAAGTCCAGCACCCTAAGAATTTAAGACATTATTTTGGAGTCAACACTTGCTAGCGCCCAATTTTAATTGCATAACTTTTGTTGATCCCCAGCTCGCGTGGAAATAAACCGCACTGTAGCGCAGATCTATTACAACTACTACACCCCGATGGCCCTGGTGAACGGAGCGCCCATGTACCTGACCTACCCGAGCATAGAGCAGGGTCGCTATGGGGCGCACTTCACCCACCTGCCGCTCACCCAGATTTGTCCGCCGACGCCGGAGCCACTGGCCCTCAGTCGCTCCCCAAGTAGTCCCAGTGGACCCTCGGCCGCCCACAACCAAAAGCTTTCGCGTCCGGGTAGCAGCAACGGCACAGTGAACTCCGCCGCCTCGCCCACGATGGTCACCACGATGGCCACCACCTCCTCCACGCCAACGCCGACCCTCAGCCGGCGACAGAGATCGCGATCGCCG